TCAGGGCCCCTGCTCCTGGGTGCCACAAGTCTGGGGCCCCCCATCCTGGTGCCTCCAGGACCACCTGCTGTGGAGGGGATTTCCCTGGAGCTAGAGGAGGAGGAGGAGGAAGAGGAAGACTATCTGGACAAGATCAACCCCATCTATGATGCCCTGTCCTACTCCAGCCCCTCTGACTCCTACCAGGGCAAAGGCTTTGTCATGTCCCGGGCCATGTATGTGTGAGCTGCCACGGTTCTGGTCTCTCAACTTGGGATCTAGTGTCCGCTGACCTCTGGCTAGGCCACCCTGTCAGTTAACACACATGCAGCCCATCTGTAACTTCTACCTTGGTGGCTTCACTATGACCTCTAACCCATGATCTCTGAACCAGAGAAACCCACCATGACGATGGAAACCTGGTAACTATCCCATGAGGCAGGGGTGGCGCGGTATGTTTCTGTGCAACCACTGACTCAAGGACTCCTCCCTAAGACGGTGACCTTAGACTGGACGGTGACCTTAGACTGGACGCTCACTTCCCACCAACATCTGCATTTTCCCCAAATCCCAAAGAAGACCCCAGACCTCTGGCTTGTCCTTAGGCAGTAAATTCCCAGTCTACAGGGGTGGGCTTAGGGGTTCCCTGCTGCTCAGACCTGAGCCCTCCAGGCAGCAAAGCCCCAATTGCTCCTCCCTCAGAGGTGGGGGGAAGGGGATTCACCAGCCCAAAGCAGCGCTTCCCCACCATTTTCCCTCCTGCAGGCAGGAGTCTCAGGGTCCAAATCCCTCCCTGAGTGCCCAGCACCCCATTCCTGTCTACAGACCATGAAGCCCCAGCTCAGGGTAAACCTGGGGGGAAGCCTCATGCAAAGCGTGCCTTGATGGTCCCAGCCCTGGGAGAAGTTTGCTGTTACCTTGAAGACTACTGAACACATTTTCCTTTGCCCGGTTGAAAAGGACCCAAATACCCTTTTGGGGAAAAGTGGATCACCTGGGTTGGGGTAGAAGATGTGATATTGTTTTATAAACTAGTACTTCCTACAAAATACGACTTTATACTTTGACCAGGTCTTGTGTTTTCTGTGAGATATGAAAGAGATGGGAATGGGACATGATGGATAATAAATTAAAAGTTCAGAGTTTGAGAAAATCCATGAAGTAGAAGTCAAAATGGATTATAGGGGGGCCAACAGGTGGCGTGGTAGTTAAAGGCCCTGGATTCCCAGATAGCCAACCATGGTTCGAGTCCCAGACCTGGAGGCCTGCTTTCTCACTCCCCCTCCATACCCCTCCCCTTGTCCCTCTCTGGTCAGATTTTAAATAAATAAGATTTTTTTTTTAACTGTTCAAAAAAATGGCTTATAGCGGGACCGGCAGTTAGCATAATGGCTATGTCACTGAACTCCCATGTAGTCAACTGCGGTTCGAGTCCCAGATCCAGTGGCTTAAACTCACGCCGGGGGCATGCCCCTGCATGCCCAAGATCTGAGAGGAGAATGGAGGAGAAGGGATTGTGGGCTGGCCATCCCCCCTGGGAGTGACTTCTCACTTTCTATCCCTGTCTCTCTCTGTCTTTCTGGCGAGCGCACGCACCCTATAGCAAAAACCTCTCTCTCTCAAAAAAAAAAAAAGCTTATATGGAAAAAAAAAGGCCCAAAATAACCCACCCCCCCAAAAAAGGAGTGGGTGAAGAGCCCAAAATGCATCATCAAAACACAATGATGAGAGGAGATGTGGGCATGGTTAATGAAAAGGAATCCGAAAACGGTAGTAATGGAGTACGAGGGGCCCCACCCTTTTTTTTGAGGAATTTTTGCTCTAAGGCATGCGTGCTCACAAGAGACCACAAAGCAAGAAACCCCCACCCGCACCCGGCAGTGGCCATGCTGCAATCCCTGCAATCCCTTCCTCATTCTCTTCTCAGGATTTTGGACACCCATGTGCACACAAACACACACACCCAGCATGAATTTCAAGTCATTGGGCCCAGGACTTGGACTGCTTGCCCATGTGAGAGTCCGGGGCTTAACCACTAGGCCACGTTTTTGCCCGAGAGGCCTTTTTTTTTTGAGAGATTTTTGTTATAGGACGAGTGCACAAGACAGAAAGTGAGAAATCACCCCCACACACACACGGGGAATTGCCATGCTGCAATCCCTTCTCCTCCATTCTCTTGGGATTTGGGGCATGCATGCACACGCCTCTAGTGTTTCAAGCCACCAGGTCTGAGAATCGAACTGTAGTCAACTACAAGGAAGTCCAGAAATGCAATCATTACGCTACGTGCTGGTCCCGAGGCTTGGTTTTAATGAATAAATAAATGGGAAGTGAGAGTAGTTCAAAGGCAAAATCGTGAATAATATAATAGAAGCCTCAGGCACGATGGGTAATATATCCAAATAAGCCAGAGGCAGAGTGATAAATGATGGAAAAATAATGGCCATGGGCCTGGTGGGGGAAAGACAGGAGTTAATTGACCCAAAACATGATGGGTAATTAAAACAGGGCCGGAGGAATGATGAAAGTGAACGGACAGAAATGGGCTAAAGGTAGTTCAGGCAATGAAGCTGAAATGAATGGCGCAGAGGCACGATGGGTACTGGGACAGGAATGAATGGGCCAAAGATAGAAGCCGCAGTGACGCGAGGAACGGAAGGCATGATGGGTAACGAAAGGGGTGGGCCTAATGCAACTATTGCGTTCAGAGGTAACGGGAGCATTGTGGGTAACAAGAATCAGGGCAGGGTTCACAGAACAGGATTCTCCCGAGGCACTGTGGGAAAGGCCAGCACTTCCGGTTTTCTGTCGGCGACTTCTGACCAAAGGGGATGCCCCTTTGCCGCGGTGCCTGGCGGGACGCGAGGCCTGACCTTGCTGCCTAGCAGCCTCTGCCGTGCAACCCACCCTTAGTGGTGTCCTCCGACCCTGGTACATTGACCAATGAGAACACCAAGCTAATACGTCACCAGGGTCGGCCTCATACATTCTGCGGCCAATTAGAATGCTTCAAGGGCTACAGCAGACCAATTATCATGGCAACTTTGCCGCGGGGCGGAGTCGAAAGAAGGGCTCATTCAGGAGAGGGGTGGGGCGACGAGTCAGTGGGCGTTGCAAAGTGTTTAGCACAGACCAATAGCGGGCTAGCACCGGAACCCGCGGCGTCGCGAGCCAATAGGCGAGGACGCTTCAAGCCAATGTGAAGGGCGGGGAGGGTGCTGTGACTTTTCTGCGGTAGGGACCAATAGGGAAGGACGTTCGTGAGAGGTGGGCGAGGCTCCCATCTACAAGTCCAATAGTAAAGCCGCGCCCTGAGGCCGGTGGGCGGACACCAGGGCACACTGAACCAATGGGCTAGGCAGGGCGGAGCGACGGTGGTGGCGGCGGCGGCGGCAGCGGGTTCGGTTGCGCGTGGCGCACGGGGTGGGAGCGGATCCCAGGCCGGGAGCAGGCGCCGCCGCCAGGGAGAACCGGGCCCCAGAGCAGGGGG